CCTCCGTAAAGATTCTTTAAAGCTGGCGTTTCGAGTGTTAGCCCTTTTTTATTTGCCCTGGCAAAAAGCTGACGCTCAAAACGTCAAATTTCAAAATTCTTCAAGGTGGCCAATTTACATTACCAACTCGGTTGATCAAACCAAATTGTCTTGATTCTTTAACGAGGTAATGATATATGGGTAAACTTGAAAATTATGTTTTCGATTACAGTTACAATGTTCTAATCACTGTTTTGACACACTGACCGGAAATCTTAACTTCCGCTTGGGTTGCCAAAACGTCATTCACACCTATCATGTCCCAGAAAAGGCTCATCCTTAGAACCGCTGTCATTTGAATACCAAATGTGCATGATTATCTCATAATTACATATTTTTTGTTTCTCGAGAAATAGCGAAAACTTTGAACGAGAAGGAATTGGCACGAAATGCAAGAAGGGTGTGCCTTCCTCGCCATGTCAGAGACAGCCAAATCTTACAAACATTTCACGTGCATATGTCATTAAGATTTGCAAGTACACGTTGTCATATCCATGGCGGAAATGTCTTTAGAATCTGCCGCAAAACATCATATAGGCGCTATGTGTGTGAGCTTCTGTATCAGTTTCACTCAGACCAGACGGGGAAACAAAGTAAACTATGGCTCGTCTATATCGAAAGCTGCTCAAGTCAAAACATGACAAGAAAATAACCGGAGGTCTGTTTGACACTCCTTCTGAAGAGAAATTGTTTGGATCCTCAAAACATTGGAATGACCACAACGTCAACAGTTGCTTCTTGATCGTGAAGGAAAGTGGAAATTCGTATGTCGTTGGAAAAGATCAGTTCGAGAAGAAAACAGATCAAGGCCACAATGGAGAAAGAGGAGAAACCGAGTTAACTTTGAAAGATTTAAAGAAAGCACGTCCACCTGGATTCCGGAAATTCGAGACCTCGCTTGGTTCCGTTAAACTAGATGAAGAACTTGCGCTGCAGTTGTGGGAAGATATTTTTAAACCTCTGTACACCTTCGATTTTCTCAAAATTGATTCGGGACACTTAGAAATGTAGTGTGTATGTATCAGATGATTGAGTGATTTTGACGATGATAGAATTACCGAGGTTATATGCTAATTCTGTCGAAGTTTCGCAACATTGAATTTTTTGCGGCATCAAAAAAACAATAAAACCATCGAATGTCAATTAACGTGGTAAAAAGTGGATATAGATGTGTTTGTATCGTTGCCTTCATTTTGGGGTAGGCATTTATCTTCATTTCCAATATCAAAACATAATTTAACCCAAAAAATGTTATGATGCAAAATTGATCTGATTTGCATAAATCCATTTAGTAAACTCGACACATTCGCTCTGACGAAAGGTTAACGAGCTCGAAACGTCAGCTTATGAAACTCTTTTCGGCGGCAAATATACAGTAACAACTCAGTAGATAAAACCAAATTATAGCATAGAAGAGACGTCTAAAAAATGGGCTGTTAGGGTTATCTCATCTCATTTCAGAATTATGATCGAGAGAATCACCAGATTAATATACCTACCATGATAGCACTAAGATACGAACAGAAAGATTCTCACAGTGTCGTTAAGTCTCTTTAATTCATTTATTGTTTTTCCTTGCCATTCTCTCTGACAGAGGGCTAACGCTCGAAACTTCAGCTTTAGAATATATTTACGGTGGCCAATCTGCATTATAAACTCATTTGATGAAACCAAATTATCCTGTTATTCTCCCCCACCAATGTAGAAACGCAGTTTCTTTAAAAAATTAACCTCTTTATTCATTTCAAGGTGTGCTGAGGATAGCAAGGGTAGATGTACTGTTGATGGATCGGCAAATATTGCAAAAATTGTTTTCAAACAACCACAAATAATGGCAAAATCATTTTATAAGTAAATTAAATTTGTTTGTTGAACTAGATAATCTAGCTGAGTTCCATTCGCTGAATACATCAATTATTTTGCTTTAAACTTCTGAAATCCAACCAACTAGGCACTCAAATCTTTGTTAATTCATAATTAGTAATTAGAGACTTTTCCAGTAAAATTATGCCGACCAATTAACAACAATACCGTCGAAATTTTAACTGATTGGTAATCAATTATCACCTTAGAATCTCTAACGCTTACCCAATTCGCCAGGGTAATTATGCTAACCGTTTAACAGAAAATTAAAGTGACTGGCTTGAAACCGTTAATTAGCAACCAATTAAGAGGCCGTGACTGTAAATATCGAGAATCGTTGGCCAGGCTAAAAAAAACGAAAATTCTGATAATTTGCCTAGAAAACCCTTTTAGGGAGATATATTCAAAAAAAAATTATTTTAAAGTTTGAAAAATCAAATGTGTCCGAGGAAATGGGGAAAAACGAAAATTCGGGTTTTTACCTTATTAATTATGCTATTCTTTACTTGTTTTGAAGCGAAGCCTTCAGGCAGTGTTACATATCCAGTGCTACGAGGACAGGTTTCAGGAGGTAGAGGAATAGTTGGCACGGAACTTGAACCTTCCTCGAGCCTTGCAGCATATTTAACCTTCGCTTTATCAAGAAGTGTCTCCCTTTCAACCGTCTTTATGCATGTTCCGAACGCGAGATGCTTTTCTAGAGAAGAGTGCCGTTGGAAACTATGCTTGCAGCCCTCTTTTGGACATGGAAACACTTGATCCCTAGTACAGTCTTTCACTGATTTGACAAAGTCAGTCATGTTTGGATTTTCAGAACTTGCACCACAAGCCCCCCCAAGAAGAGAAGCAAAGCTACAGAATGACATCGTTTTCTGTTTATGCTCTATGAAAAACCTCGCACGTGTTTACCTTTAAGAAAAAGACCGTGATTGCATCATAGAGAATTATCGCCCGGACTGCAACACGGTATAATTGCTACCGTGACATAAGTCCTTTTTATCAAGTTTTATGACAGAAATGTGGCCATTTTCCCGAAAAAGATAAGAGTAAATAGCATAAAAATAGTTGGGCTGTTATCTTGAGGTGAAAAACTTCACAGCAGAAGCTTGCGGTGTTGCGTGACTTTGTTTACTCACATGACTTTTTCCAAGATATCCAAGATATTTCAAAAGAAATATTATCGCAGTTGCAGAAAACGTAACTATTCAACTAAGAATGATGTCGATAATAAACACTAGTCAACAAAAATGGTGAACTATGCAGCGGCCCTTATCTATAGTTAGGTGTAGGTAGTGCTGTTGAAATAGCGAGTCGACAATAACAGTCTTCTGCAATTCAAATTAACAGAAAATTTCGTATCTACACATCAATCTACAGCCCTCTTCAGTAATGTCTGCGGATTTTTTATTCTATAATTTCATATAATTTCCATATCAAAGAGTTTTTTAACCATCTTTAACTATCTTGTTTACTTCTTAGCTCTCAAGTACGATTTCTACAACTGATTTACATCAAGCAAATTCTTGACCTTGGCCACAGTGCGTTGCAAACTCTTTTATTTTGCCGGCACTTTTCTGAATTACCCAGATTTTTTATTTCATATTATTTTCATATAAGGACCAAACTTTGTGCCAGCATGTAGTTTGATATGATTTCTCACATGCCAAGACGCGTTTTGAAGGCTTGAAGTTGCTCGATTTTTCGCTTTTTGCAACAAGCGTTTGACAGCACCGTGAATTTTAAAATTAAACCAAAGCTCCTTAAAATGTTACAAATAAAAATCAAATGAATTATACTTTGAAGTAAAAACACCCCCGATTTCTTACCAAACATCCTCCTTCAGTACTCGCACACTAAAGTTGGTCGATTTTGCTGTATTTTTTGCATAATTAATTAGGTAAAAACCCAAATTTTCGTTTTTCCCCATTTTCTCGAAAACATTTGATTTTTCAAACTTCGAAATATATTTTTTGAATATATCTCCCTAAAAGGGTTTTGCAGGCAAATTATCAGAATTTTCGATTTTTTTAGCCTCTCGATATTTATAGTCATGGGCTCTTAATAACTTAATGATCATGGGTGATGTAAGAAGATAATTGCCATTTACGCCCCAATTTCAATTAATTGTCAACTAAGAACTTGAGAGGTTTTCGCTTAGAACTCTGGGGTGGTCTGTCACCATTATAGCAAATAAGAACCACCAAGAACGGAATTTGCCAGCGAACTATCACTTTCGTTGATATGGACGTACGAACATCATCCTCAATCATCTTTTCTTAACTTGATTTTTTAACTATGTCTGGGTCTCCGCTTTGAACGCAGCAGCCCCGCGAATGTCCACATTCGGACTTAATATTAAGCTTCCTTTTTCACAATTTTTTCTTGTAAAATCGCGGAGGTCATGTCTTGTGAAATACACCTTATTCCAAAATAGTGTGTCCTCACATGAAATAGCCCTTTCGGCTTCCTTTCAAAATATAAATTAGTGTAGGCAGAGATGGGGCTATTAATATAAACATATTAAGGACGTATAATTATTTTAGATTAAGGTCTGTATGTCTTAATTTATTGAGATAGTGAAAAGTAGTAACGAGGTAGATTGTTATGGATCCACTTCAGTCAATTTATTTTTTTAAGTGTTGCTACTCTAGGACCTTTGAAAAAAACATGAACACACTTTTCACACTCCAAAATGACTTGAGTTTGTTGCTTTTTGAAATAAAAACTTCCACGTCATGCATGACTCATTCCAGAACCAATTTTCGCAATTTGCTGTTTTCCATACATTACAGTCGTAAAATCAATTCCAACGTGATATGAAAACAATTATTAAATGAAGAATTTTTATCTTCGCATTGTTCTCAAAAACATCATTTTCAGTAAAAAAGATTCCATGACTTTCAATGCATGGAAAATTGATGAGTCTAAGGAGTCAAAGGTCTGAGTGGTATTCAACTGAGAATGACGGCAGTTGAGGTGATAAAGAAATGGCCCACAGTGGTTATTCTTGTCAACACAGCCTTATATAAGCTAAATCATAAACATATTTTGATTGGTTTCTACTGTTTAATAGAGGCCACACAGATGAAATTACTATCAACATTTTCCTTCTTTATTACATAAAACAAAGAGATCCTATGTTGCCGTGGATCTTTTCAGTTATGAATCACTGAAGAGGTCAAAATGTGGTAAGAACATCAGTGACATACTCAGCTGTGTCTCGCAAACAACGTTTTTGTTTTTTCATATTTTGACATCATCTGTGATCTATTTCAGCACAGGTGCAAGACAACATTGAATCTGCTTGTCGAATACATATTACAAAGATGAGACCTTTTAAGGATGATTTTTTCATCAGGCTGTGTTTGGTAGATAACATAAGACAACTTTTACTGCAACAAAAATGATGTGCAACAACACTGCAGAAACTGCAACATGTTGCTGCAATGAATTGCTGCAATAAATGTCCTCTAGTGGATCATTTCACAGATCAATTTCTAAGGGAACAATGCCAAGTTAAAAGCAGCAATTGGAAACTGGACTTTTGTATCTTCAGCTTTGGATCTACAATTTAAAATGCACGACCAGACTTTATCTTATGACTAAGGATGAATTTTTATACAAAAAAAGAAAAGGTTGAAACTACTCTTGAAAGAATAAGCACCATTCTGGTGCAAACTGCCATATAAGCTTCGCACAGGGTTCAGTAACAACCCACAGATAACATGAACATCCAACAGACATGTACATTCTAGCTTCTAATTTTGTATAGCATAGGTTCTTGTCCACTCCCTGGCTGCAATAAAATTATAAAAATAAACCTTTTCAGTATAGTTCTAATGAGAAAGACTCAGGGGAGGACAAAGAAGGCCTGTTGGGATCATGGGAAGGGGAAAGCAAATACACTATTCATTCAGTGTTAATTCTTTCACTTCCATGTTTTCACTGTCATTTCTCCTTACAGCATGTCATATATTTCGTATAATTGTGGTGCTCAGAATTGGCTGTTCTTTAAAGCTGCATGCATATCATAAAATTCATCTTTTGCCTTCTCTTTTTGGTCTTTCTGCTTGACAAGGTATTTATATTGTAAGATAAATTATTCAAATTGGTCTCTGCTGGGAGTGAAAAATTTAACAGTGTTCAAAGAGGCTGTGGTCACTCATAGAGAATACACCAAAAATTGTTTGCCTTTGTCTCCCAGGAGTGATTAACATGTAACTTCTCCCAATAATAACTATGCATTACCCAACAAACAGGCAATGAGAAGATTCAAGCTTATCAGGTTAAGGTTATCTTGATCTAACACCAAATTCTCTTAACTCAGAATTGCATCAGAGGGCTAAACTGTGCAAGACTAACGGGGTCATTTGAAACACTATGCTGATCAATGTCAGATAATAAATCTGACACAAATGACATTACTTATAAACTTACCAGTGACGAGAGCTTCACTTTCATTTAATTTCCACTTCTCTGCAACATCATTAGCCAAAGGATCATCAGGGTTTGGGGCACTAAGAAGAGCTTGGATGGACAACAAGACTGTGCGAATCTGAAGAGCTGGGCTCCATTTGTCTATTTTAAAAAAAATCAAGCAACTGTTCAAGAGAAAGCTAATTACATGCTTCTAATTGACAGACAATGAGTGCATGTTCATGTAACACAAGTGCAAAGTTGCAACACAAATGCAAATTACAAATAGCATGAGGGTGCTTTGAAAATTTCCTCTGTCTTAACTTTCTGTGATGTTTTTTCATACCTATTATTAACAAGTAATAACCTGATTTCTCTTGCAATTTGGTGTAATGAGCACTTGAAATTTTTCAGAGACTACAAATTGCACTTGCCCTACCAACTTGAGAAATTTTGTTGTCTTTGAAAAATTTACTAGTGCTTATTAACAACAAATTGCACTTGAAATCAAGTTATTACCTAAACTAACTCCAAGAAAAGATTGTAATGTAACTTCTCCCTATCATATCCATACATTGTCCAGCAAAATGGTAATGAGAATACTCAATCTAATCAGGTTTAAGTTATGCTGATCTAACACCAAATTCTCAAAACAAATTGAAAGGAAAATATATAGCAGCTAGAGGAGAGAATTAGCAGTCAGATCTTAACAGTTAAAAGGGTTCATCCTTTGTTGTTTTATTTATTTTTGTATCATTAATTAGCAAGTTAAATGTGTTTTTGAAATCAAACAATAACAACTTCATAGGGAAATGGAAATATAAGACTGAAGCTATAAGAAACCATATTTTAAAGATAATTATAAAAAAAAAAAAAAGATCAACTCTAATCTCATTTGTAAAGTATTTCAGTCATTAGGATTTACAGATGGTCATTCAAACATCAGAAGCCCTACCGAACAGAAATACAGATAAATTCATTGAACCAGCGTCTTTCGGAAATATGAAACGTGAATGTACATTAAATTTTAATCGGTGCCGTACCTTTAAGAATATCCAAGCAGATTCGTCCGAGTTTATCCACATTGGGATGATAAATTTTCGTCATAAATCGAACTTTGGGTGCAGCCATTGGGTATTCTTCAGGCAGAAAGAGCTCTAGCCTAAATTTCCCTCCTTCAAACGGGGTCTGGAATCGGTAATAACAGATGATAACCATTAGGACACAGAAAATTTGAATTTAAAAAAGCCACGACTTTTTAGAAATCAAACTCATAGAGAACAGATCTAGTTAGTGTCAGTTACCTCGGCGGGACCTTCTATGACAACATTAAAGTATCTAGCGTTATCTTCAGACGGAAGAGCTGTTATTCCCGGTACTGGCTCTGACATTAATCGTTGCGTTTCCTACAGAGAAACGAAAAGCGGCTTTCTCAGATTTTTGGGATTTCATAGCCGGAGCAACAGACTACAGTTAACAAAATCTTAGAAAAAAAGCACCAACGTTCATTGTATCTGTTATATAGAAGGGAAAGAGTGCCGTAAAAACTTACTTTTATTATTCTTCGCGGAAGGCCGCCCGCCATGGCTGCGATTTTATACCTGAAGTTATCCTGGAAGATTTGTGATGTTCCAAAATGGCGTATCCTTCGATGAATGCCAGCTACGTGAGCCCGCACTCCAAACACCCTCTCTTTTCATTCCCAGTACCCTTAGAATGCGCGAGTTTAGTGTTTCAACTCTTCCGCATCCGCTCCTCCCGTGCTCTGCACCCGCTTTTTTTTTTCTTCCGCGTTGAATTTACTATTATTTGTTGCAAGGGAAAAATATGAGACTCGTATTTCGTTCTAGGATCGGCTCATGTGAAAAATTATTGATATTGCGTGACATCATCGAAAGCGCACTAATTACGTTTTCGTTTTCAGAGCGACAGCTTAAAATTTGTTGGCCACTGTCGTTCTTTTTAAAGAAAAGAAAAACAATTTAAAAACTCTGATCGAGGGATAATCTGATTATTTCAGTTTGTCACAAACATGTCACGGGTATCACAATCATATGCCTTCCATCTCGGCTGTCACGAGACTGTCACGTAAGTCGCGCGGAAAACCAAAATCGCAAAATGGCGGCAGGATTAGGACTTGCTGAGGTAATCCTTGATTTATTTTCAGATTTTAGCGTGAATAAGGCAATTGAAATTAAGAAAATAACCTTATTTTGATGACAAAAATCTGAAAAAGGGTTAAAAACAAACGCGTTTGAAAGGTAGATCGTAGTATTTATTTGAAAGACTTTGTAGTTGCTTGCGCGGTAAGAGGGCTGTTCCCAAAGACCGGTGTTTTTTTCTTCGAATGTCCTTCAAAAGCTTCTCTCAGTTTATTCTCAGATTTATGAAATTTTCTCTTCTTAATTCGAATTCTCATTCGGTCGACGGTGTGATTCCGCTCATGGAAACGCGAAATTATTTACTCACCCACTATATCTAGGTAGCGTGTTAATTTATTGAGAGCCAGTTATGATCTTTTTGTCGTGCTTTTTGGAACGAAAGATTTTTTTGCTTTTATGCCTTATTTACGTGATGAAGCTGCTTGTCAACTTTAATTCCTTTTGGAAGATATCGATCTATTTTGAGAGCCTCATTTCTCCCCTTAAAGAGTTATTGTTAACTAAATTTGTACCTTCTAGTGTTATGAACGTCGTAATCTCATGCATCTAGTTTCAGGCCACCTGTAAGCAATCCATTTAAATTTTTCAGCTCTTAACCCTGTAACTCCCAGGCGTAATTTCTCCTTGATGAGAATAAATAAAAATGTCAATTTGGGGATTATTTGATCCCATTCCAAATTCTCTAAAATAACTTCATTAGAATTGCATGAACACCAGTAAGGAGAAATACTAAGAGATCACAGGGTTGAAGTTTTAAGGCTTGCTCTGACCTGATCATTATATGTAAAATTACCCTGATGATTATAGAGAAGGGCATCTTTGCTTGGTTGAGGATTAATTGTGTTATATCTCACTATAATCACCTAGCGCAAGGTAATTATCGCAGAGTTGTGAAATATTGAAATGGCTGCCTAGTGTTTCATCATTGTTACAGAGATAGGGGTACAGATAATAGAAGAAAATTCAATTCTGACCAGCAAAGAAGATGCCACTAAGTTTGGCAAAACACTTTCCAAAAGAAAGATACAATTTTTTTGCCGATTGCAATTAAATAAACCTGTTAAATTCTTAACAATTATTGGATGAGGTTTTTGTGACATCTAGAATATCAGCTGAAGTGGAAGGCTGAGGCTATCACAGAAGCCAAATCTACTAATTGTTTTATTACTGTAACACATTGAATGAAAAACAAGATTTTTTTGCTTCTTCTCTGATGACAAGCAACACAAAGCAAATTGCTAATTTGACATGATTACCCTTAGAAATCATGTACCGCAATCGTACACTTTCAGTCTACTCTCTTTACTCATGACTGCCCCTTTAACTCCTGTGAGTTAAGAAGACAGAATTTCTCCCAATTATATCAATGTAATATCAAGCAGACAAGTGATAAGAATAAAGAAAAATATTAATTATGGGATTTCTTATTGATCCAATACCAGATTCTCCAGCTAACATAATGGGAATCATTTGGCAGACAGAAAGGAGAATTGCTAATGAGATCTTGGGAGTTATAGGGTTGATAGAGAGCACTAAGAATAGCCAATCAAATTGCAACATCCATGATAGAATGACAATATGCTTATTCATGTAACTGTCAGTAATTTGGGGTTTTATTTATTCACAGGATCAGTTCCTTGACAAAGCTGTTGAAGTTTACAGAGAATATGCCAAAGCTGCCTCTGTGTCTAAAGCAAGAGTATCGCTATTTGAACAAGACTCAAACTCCAACACAGTTGAAATAAGCATAGACTCTCAGTGGTCTCAAAGAGATTTGGAAAGAAATGAAAACCGTAGCTTTCTTAGAAATTACATTGCAAGTTACAACACCACGTCATTGAGTTTGAGCAACATCAGGGAACCTTCATTTCCAGTAGAAATTCAACACTTGTAAGTACCGTATCCGTAGATTTATTGTCAAGGCTTTACACCCTGACATCAGTATCCTTCTTCTACATACCTTTCTCTGTACATTTCCTTTGGTACTGACCAGGAGAATTTGCTTAACAATCAAGGTTTCTTAGGTTGGTGATCAGTTTATTTATGCTCATGACCTCAATGATTGATTTAACAGTATTGCTGTAAGGAGTCATTATATGGTCCTAGACCGCAATATATACTTTTGCTGTTATTTCTTGAGAATGGTATTGAGCAAATGCCATTTTTGACCAAAATTTTGTTTGGAAATATTAGGTTGCATATGAATAAACTCTAGATCTTTTAGAATCATCCCACATTTTCCTTTACATACTTGAAACACAAAAATTGAATTTAATAAACCATATATATTTATATATTATTACTGCATCTAGATCAGCATTTCAAGATTATTTATCTGCAAATTTTTACAAAAAGTTCTACTGCATTTTAAAAGTTCTACTGCATTTTAAAAGTTCAAAGCTATCTTGAACAATTAAAAAATTAAGGTGGCTCTGCACCTATGCTACAGCAAGGTTGCTGATCTTCAGAGTTCAGTTTTACATTAGTAATACTTAGTACACAGTATTGATGGTTGGTGAATATGATTCTTAATTAGACAACTGAGGAGCACTTCTCCCAGTGGAAAATACCAGGCCATTGTGCGGAAAGTACCAGGAAACAAGGGACAAGAAGATAAGCAATTTCTGGAGGTTAGAAAATTTTGATCCAGTGATTGAGGGTTCTTTAAGCTGAATAAATGAAACCAGTTGTATGCTATTGGTTTCCCTCACTTTCCTGCACAAGGTTTAGTTCTTAACCCTTGAACTCCCAAGATCTGATTTTCAATTCTCTCCTCTACCTGCTGCACATTTCCTTGAAAAAAAGTTGTGAGAATTTGGTGTTAGATCAAAATAACAACTTCTACCAGATAACTTAAAGTATTTTCATTTTTAGTTTGCTGGATAGCTCACAGTTATTATAAGGAGAGGATACATGTTAATCACTTGTGGGAGTTTAAGGGTTAAAGGCTCTTTCAAGTTAAGCCTCTTTAGTTTGCTTTCATTGATCAAGTTGTCAGACTATAAACAGTTCCTTTTTTTCAGCAAAGTCCATTGTACAAATAGTAAAAAACATCAGGGGAAAAAAAACACAAAATCAGTTTCACAGGGAGCTCTGGGAGTGAGATGCACTCATCCTTCAAATTTTTTTTCATGATTTTTTTACTCATGTGACTGACTTTGCTGAAAAGGATGGACTCCTTGTAGTCCACGATTTCCTTAAAGTTTGTTAATTTGGAACTAAGCAGCCTTCACATTATTTGTGCAGAATCATCTTTGATGTACTCTTTTTGCAAGATCTGGCAATAATTTCTGCTATAATTAGAAGTCATTTCTACTGTCAGCCATTATTTTACAAAAAGAGGAACTTCTCCCCCCCCCCCACCCACCCACCCCTCTCCCCTTCTGCAACCTGGTCAGTGGATTTCTTCACTCTCTCTTTAGCTACTAAATTTATTGAATAATAAATATCCATACTCTGTACAGATCTGGTCTCAAAGTCATCTTGTCAAGAATGTTGATGTTCTAGCTTGTGAGAAGCATGGCAAAATTTTTGAAGATGGTGAGTACTTGACATTCCGACATGAAATATTTGAATTTTGTGAAGCAAATTTACTTTCCATGTTTTGTTTGGTTTACTTAATGGCTTGAGTTATTTTCATTTTTTTTCATCTATGGAAAAAAGTAGCCATTTACCATCATATGCAAATGTAGACCATAGAGTGGTCATATGACCATAGATTGCTGATGAGCTAGGAATCCTACCTGTAGCCTGCAAGGAGGCTGTTGTTGGATGTGATGCAGGAGTGCCTCGCATGCTTCTTGTAAAGTCTTCCAAAGGTGGTGAGGGATCTGGCACTAAAAGGAGGCCTAGGCATCCCCCTGACTCCCTTCATCTTCCAGGGAATTTGGATAGTTCATAAGATGCTAGTGCGGTAGTGCCAGTGGCAGTCTGTATGCAAGCTAGGAAATTAGCTAAATTGCCACCAGAACTTATCCTAGTTTCAACAGCATGAAGCAACCTAGAGTATTTATGCCATTCCTTGGATGGTATTACCAGTCCATTACATGGTTACTTGTCAGATTTTCCAGATGGTTTATAAGTATCCTTTCATTTTCCTTGTTATAGAGAAGCAAAATGATAGTAAAGTGTCTCGCTAAAGAATGCGACACAGTGACTTCATCAGAGCTCTTACCTACAAGTCTCAGTCTGCATGAAATGTAAATATTGTTATTTCACTGACAGTGATTTTTACGTGTATGTTTAAGAAATTGATCTGTATGTTTATAGGGCAGTTTGGCTCTCTGGTTTGGTCAGCATCAGAGAAGTACCTGTTATATGTGGCGGAAAAGAAGCTGCCAAAAGCTGTTTCATATTTTGAGAAACAAAAAGGTAAGGTATACATGCAACTGTTTTGAGAAAAGTGAACAGAAAAAAAGGGCAAAAGTGCATGCAAGACCCATAGCACCAGTCATGAACTTCATAATTTATTTATTTTTTTGCATGGGTAATGACCTATTTGAAAGTTGCATGCTTGGTTGCCAAGCCCTTAAACAGGATTGAGGCTATGGTGACCTTGTTATGATACAAACTTTTCAAATGTTCCGCAAATTACTTTGTTATCATGCTAACTAGATACTGGTCTTTTTCACGACGAGGTTACCTTCTGCCTCACTTCAAATCAAAGGCTTGACAACTAAGTACACAGTATTCTAACTGCATAATTTTATGCTGATGTATATTAATACAATAATTAATTCCTTTTTTTTATCAGGTGATGCTGCAGCAGACAAGCCTCCTCCAGAAAAGGTGATACTTCTGTTCTATCATCTGTTAGATTTGGTTAACTTCAATTACTCATTAATCATGGGAAAAGCAAACTCACCTGAAGTCAAATTGGGAACCGTTTTGTCTCTACAGTTAATGAGACAATTTCCTGAAAGAAGTAAAAAATGATAACTGTCTTCTATTAGCAACAATTATTATTATTTCCTTTTCACGCCTTGACCCATTTAATAGATAATAAAAGCACAAAGGTAACGCCTCTTTATTTCATCTCCAACATGACTGAATGTGCCCTACGTATTTGATTGGTCCATGAAAAAACTCCCTTGTGCTCTTAAATTCTAAAGGAAGAGTCTACACTCAATTACTTAGTGAACGTTTTTATTTCACTTTGATCAATTTTGATTTCATTTCAAGGGAAATAAATTTGAGTTCAAGGATGACTGGGGTGAACAGCTTGTTTCCAAGTGTTCCCCTGTGATTGTTGTCTACGACATGGAGAGTGATGAGATCAGAGTATTGGAAGGAGTGCCTGATAACTTGTCTGCAGGCCAAGTGAGTATGAGGGTGACAAAATGGAATTCAATCGGATTCTACAGATGAAAATTACAAGCAAATCGCGAACGTGATTGATTGTAAACTCTATCATATGTCTGAGCAATGCATGATTCGTAGTGCATTGCACGCGCTATTGTAGCTAATTGAAAAAAAAGAGGGAGATTTGTTCGCCTGGCTGCCACAATAATGCCTTTCACAATCGTGCTTCGTATTTCATACTAACTAAAGGCCAAGAACTTACTAAATAGCAGAGTTCAAGAGTCATGAATCTGTAGTTGGACGGTGAGAATCCGATTTTCACTTTGTTAGGTCAACTGTTGGCTTCATTCTTTCATAGAAAAAAAAAGCAACCGTATATATTCGTTCTGAATACGTTTAATTGATATGTATTATTTCTTAAAAGTTGTCCTTGTTTTGACAAGTTGGTAACAGCTTTTCCATCGTAAAAATATTGTCTGAAGTTGTTCTCGTGATTAACAAATGTGCCTCCGGTTTGCGTCCGTCCGATTTTGATGTCAGTCTTTCGTATGATTCCAGACCTAACTGGATTCCACTCGGTCCAATTACCATTAAAAATCGTGAGACTGAGATGTGGTTCTTTTTTTTTTTCTTTTCAGGTCCGCTGGGGTCCGAACGATGACAGCGTTGTGTTTGTGGGTTGGTTGCATGAGCCGTACAGACTTGGACTCATATATTGTCCTATTAGAAAGTAAGATCATTTAAAAAGTTAAATTTGTGGGTTTTCTAGGTGTAAACGAAGTGGCTCAACTGAGGGCGCGGCCGCCCGTCACATTCTCTTACAGCTGCGTTGTCAAGAAAAGCAGTGATCTCTTTATTTTCCCTTCTTATTTTTGTAAAAACGGAATAAATTCTCACGATGACGTCATCTTGTTGTCTATCTACCCATAGACTATAGGTAATGACCAATCACATTGCATTCAGAATCCAGTCTTGTAATAAATTATTTTTCCTCATTTGTCTTCAGAAATGCCTTGTACTCACTATCGCTAGATGGAAAAAGTCTTGGTGAGTTTTGCTAATTAATAACAACGTAACGTGATTAATGTCTAACCAACAGAACAATACCCTACTGTAAATAAATCTCAAGTACCGTTACCAGTCAATTCATATCCTCGGTCGTTTCGTACCCAGTCGATTCGGAGCTAAATAGTAGACAGCGCGAGGGGACGAGCGAGGTTTGGGAAGGGTCGCGTAATAAATGTGACTGGACCCAAGCCTTCCCCGTTTTTAAACTCCTTCGCTACTATCGCGCGTCAGTTTACTAACTGAACACGTTGAGCAAGCTAAAATATTTCTAATGTGTATAACGTAATTATTCATGTTTGATTTTACTCCAGAACAATTGACTGACCCCAAGTACGCCGTCCACTCACCCCGCTTTAATCACGCCAAAGAGAAGTTGGTAAGATCAAAAGATATTCGACAATTTCAAGTTCTATAGTAAGAATAATTAAATTCAGTGCAAACCATGTTTTTGGTATGTTGCAATAATTCATGAAGGATGGAAAGTAAAATTGCAATGACTAATTACTAGTGCCAGACCCCGGCGACCTCTCTCCGACTCGTCTCAGACCTTCCCGCGGACAGAGAAACGCGCACACTGCAGCGCTGATAACAAGGGCCTGCGCAGGGCCTGCGCACAGCCCAGCAAATCTTTTCCTTTCTAGTACAGCAGCGACCCCAGTTTTGGTCTAGTTCTTAGCATTACGTGATAGACAGCGAAATGAGCTGGTTCCACTTCATCTGACATTCAATCTGTCCTTTGAACCTTTTACACATGTTTGATTAGAAAGGAAATTTGTTAATTTGAAAATATTTTTACAGATTTACATAGCTTTGGATGTTGGTGGAGCACATTTAAAATGTGGAAGATTAATGCAGGTGAGTATGAGGGTGAAGATATTGTCTTCATTTATTGACTGATATCGCAACTTTTACCTCACCCACCCCACCCACCCTTCTTACATCTTTTATTGTTAATGAAAATGAAAGCATTTGTTTTGTTTTGTTTTGTGCTAGTTTGTCTTCGTCGAAATTTAGTTCCTGATAATTTTCCAGGCAAATAGTGAAAGTCTCACCAAATACACCTTTCCTATTTTTAGGTTTTTTTTTTCGATGGTGAAAATAAATTGAACAAGTTTTGCATTTTGTCTTTTAGTATGACTGGATCGCAAAGACTACTTCAACTATTGTTGATGTTGTGGACATTCCAGAAAGTAAGAGTGGTAGTTTGCTTTGCAAATTTGTTTCATCCTGAGCGGAAAATTCTTACTAGAAGTGCTAAGGGCTAGGAAAAGTACGAGGCCTTCAGTAATGCGAACCGGCGAGAAGTTAGCATGGAGTCAGACACTGATCGTTATTAGTGCCAGACTCCCGGCAGAACTTTCCCCGCGGCGTCTCAAATCATCCCGCTGGTGGAGAAAATCGCGTCCTACATGCTCATAATGAGGGCTTTCTTGCAAGCTAGGATATTTGAGTGTCGCAAATGAGTTGTTTTTACCTTGCCAGTAGTGGCTGAACCATGAACTGTGTTCTTGTCTTGGTAGAAGGCGGATTTCCAGGGATATACAATTTGTATTTAACCCTCGCCGATCGATGCTGGACGCCAGATGGGAACAGTGTCATTTTGTCTACCGTGTGGAGAACTTCTCAGGTTAGCCCACAAACTATTACCCTACCTCTTCACTACTGAAATAATTTTCCTGGGAAGGTTTGAGTTACTGAAAAACGTTGGATTGTAAAAACCTCTAACGTGATTGTTTATAAACGTCGGATGCGGAAAAGTGATAATATGATTTCGAACACAGTTTGCAAAATATGGGAGACACGGTAACCTTATGATTAGTGCGCTGGACTCCGGGTCGAGAGGTCTGGGTTCAAGCCCAGGCCTCTCCACCCAGGAGTAAAAATGGGTACCGGCGAATTACCATGGAAGGGGTGGGGGTGGGGGGTAACCTTGCGATGATTTTGATTTTGAGCACGAGGGAGTCACCAGTGTCCGACGTTGGATGAAATACTGGGGGGGGGGGGGATCACTTGGCTGAAGTGCAGACCTTACCTTGAAAATTTACAAGTTAAATTGCATGAGTCCTTAGGGCGTATTCATTTATGTTGGAGCTTCACCTTTGTGATCTATTAAATGGGTTACCGAGTGAGATACAAAGGGGTTGTTGCTAATAAAAGACTATTACTATTGTTTACACTTTCAGAAAATTGTTCTCATTAACTGCAAAGACAAAACGGTTACAAATTTGACATCAGGTGAGTCTGCGTTTCTCATAATGCTAACCAAGCCCAAGCGCGAGGCGCGCCGGCCATAAATCGGAGCGGAAAAAAAAGAGGCTCCGTAATTTACTACACGGAGCGGACGGATATTGGCCACCGTCGGGAGTTTCTTAGGCTGCCGTTTCAAGCGGTAGCCTTTCATTATTCGCGCTGACGAAAAGTTGACCCTTTAGCTCCCAAGATCTGATTGTTAATTCTTACCTCTAGTTGCTACACATTTACTTATAAATTAGTTTTGAGAACTTGGTGCTAGATCAAGATAGCAGCTTTTACTTGATAAGTTTGAATATTCTCATTACCTGTTTACTGAATAATGTATGGATATTATAGGGAGAAGTTACATATTAATCTCTTGTAGGAGTTTAAGGGTTAACGATCGAAACGTCAGCCTCAGAAACACTTCACGGTAGCCAATTTACATTATCAACTAAGTTTTTCAAACCAAATTATTTCTAAATACCGCCCGCTCCCTTCTACCGACGCAGTGCCACAGTTTCTTTAGAAACTTTCCGCCATGAACTTCTTTGCCAGTAATTGCTTGTATTTCCTCCCTTTGTTAGCCCCTGGATCGTGGAGCTTCCTTGATATCAATAGTAACATTCTTTTAGCTTCACATTCGTCACCAAACAGCCCACCAAAGTTGGTAAGTTACCTTTATTTTCTTTGCTCATCGTAAAATCAGAAAGCTTTTTAATAACGGTATCTGTGTGAATTGTTTTTGGTGTGAGTAACAGATAATCAGAAACATCCTTTCGGATCAATATCAGTATCTGGGCAACTGCCCACCTCCCCCTCTCCTATCCCAACATTAACCCTAACTTTTTATCAATTGACTATTGCTGGGTTAGGGGAGGGGTAGGTGGGCAGTTGCCCAGATACTGTTTATTTCGCCTGAATCAAAGACGCTTCCCGGTTGAACTGAATAAGCCGCGAGGAAAAAAAGCAATCAAATAAAAAAATAATTAGCTGCGAGAGGTGTCATTTGGTGAATTCGGCGAGTGTGCTGACGTCATTGTCTCCAGTCCATTTGGATTTTTGACCTTAGTGGTTAATTTTGGATTTTGGGCCCTAGTGGTCGATTTTGGAATTTGGACACTGGTGGCCGATTTACATTTTAAACACCAGTGGCCAATTTTGGATTCTAGACACTGGTTGCTGATTTTAGATTTTGGACACTAATGGCCGATTTTTTGGAATTTAGACGCTAGTTTCCGTTTTTTGGATTTTGGATTTTGGTTTCAAGTCTTCTATTTTGGATTTGGACGCTAGTGTTCAATGTCTTTTTGGACTCTAGTCTCCGATTTTGGAATTTTTGACGCTAAGGTCCGAGTTTTAGAATTTGGGCTCTAGTGTCCGATTTTGGAGTTTGGACACTAGCGTCCGGTTTTTTATTTTGGAAACTAGCGTCCTAGTTTGAATACTAGACTTTAGTGTCCAATATTTGGACACGAGTCCAAAGATTTTAAACACTTGTTTCCGATTTTAGGTGCTAGAGTCCGTTTCGAGACACTGTAGTCCGATTTGGACGCCATTTGCCCCGTTTTATTAGATCAGAACATAATTATTCGGGCAATTTAGATAGTATTTTACAAACGTGTTGTAAAATGTGTTACAGAAGTTCGTTTATTTTCTCTAGATGGTGGCAACTTTACCACCTGATATCCCAGAACCTGGTTTATCTTGGATAGAAGTAGGTCAGTGAAGAAATTGATCCTATGAATCCCAATTGGAAAATACGATAAATATTAACTTCCATTTGGCACGAAAATATGTTCGTATATTTTTCAGCGGACAATCTCTGTCCCAAGGAGCGAAGCTTGAGGTTAACAGTGAGTTACAAGGAACAGATAATGTCCAAGGACAAATTTACGAGAATTTTTTTTGTTACAGAAGGAGGGTACTGTACTTGGTGAGCGTTTTAAAGCTGACGCACCCACTGCTCCTGACTCGCTTTTTTAAAATTTATTTCGTTGTAATCCGCGGTTTAAAAAAAAAGATGTATCCATTTCTTTGTTATCAGATTTATTTAAGGGGAACAAAAAGAAACAATTTAATAAAGGACAAATCTTAAAAGTCAACGGACTTGTTCAGACTGGAAAAGGAAAATGATCTTTCTCATTCCGTGAGACAAATAAATGTTTTCTCTTAATCATGTAATCTTAACTTAACATTACGTGAATTGCTGCAAGTAATTTGTCCTTTCTTGTTTTAGCTCATTCCGAAATTCTCAACCTAGAGAATGAAATTTCATGGAAGGTGATGACACTTGCACCCAGCGAGAACGCAGGTTGGAATGTAATGTGAATAAAAGAGGAGCTAATCGCTTAAACGCAGACATTTCAACAAAAACTGGTTACCGGTAGTATTCCGCCTTAGTCTCGTATCTAGACCTTCCACGACCGAGCCTACATTTCAGTCACACGATAGGATCTGGGTATGAGTTTGCCGCCGCCCTCAAATCTTCATACCGCCGTCTGTTAAGCCTGCGAGGGGACTCCGGTTTTTGGGTCTCGTCTTACAGCCCCTTTTACTGGGCACAGTCGCATATTGCACCATTGGCAGCTGCTTAAGGACAAATTTATTGAGATCCCCGCAACGTGGTGTATCTTTGTTAAAGTAGCTTTTAATTTTGAGCGCCATTTTCTAGAGGAACTTTTTGAATGTTAGATTCCTATGTGCTTAAAAGGCAATTTAATCAACTCTACACTTTGTCGACTCCACAGATTTCAAAGATGAGTATGAAGCTGTTTTCATCAAGCCAGGGTTGAAGGATGAAACGAAGCCCCCGCTTATTGTTTTCCCGCACGGAGGACCTCACTCTGCCTTTTTATCAGATTTCTCTCTCTCCAGTGCTTGTCTCTGCAAACTTGGATTTGCTATCCTCGGTGGTAAAGTATACTTTGGGTTTTTTTTTTTATATTGTTACTTTTTTTCCCCTTTTTTTCTTAATCACAAGGTTAAAAAGTCGTGTGCCATTGCGGCGAGCAGTAAAGGTTTACCAAATCCTGTATTTGGAGTGTTGTCAACATGACGATATTTTAAAAACAACATTTTCAGCGGAAATGAAACCTCCCAACTTAACACGGCGAAGGCTAGCCGTGGAGTGCCTCACCTCTCTAACGACTGCAAATTACAAACCAAGATCCCCAACTGATCCTAACTCTCCCCGCGCTTTGCACCTGTCTCCGACCCTGCGATACGTGCCAGCAAAATAGCAATTTCTGCTGATAAGGATTATCACAAATTTCATGAAGAAAAATCGAACAGTCTCTCTATGCTTCAGTTGTTGAACAGTGCGCGACCTAATCCCTTGATGTTCGTCTTGCTTTCCACTAGTCAACTACAGGGGATCCATAGGATTTGGCGAAACACAGCTTCACTCCCTGCCCGGAAACATCGGAATACAAGATGTACAGGATGTGCAGGTAATTTTAAGGGGGCGTTTCACTTGTCTGCGCGGGTGCAAGTAGTAATGTTTTCGTTCATTTCGTTTATTTGTAAGTATAAAATTTGGCTTTGATAAAATTCTTTGAGCAAGGGAATGTAATCTACTGTCAGTCCTTGGACATTTTCGGTGTTTTAGAACTTTTAATGATTTTTTTTCCGTAAACTTTGAACGGGGCAAGAGTATGCTCGGGCAAATTATGGTCAGAAATTGTCCCTCCTTTAAGCCGGAAAACCATTTAACCCTTAAAATCCTTTAAGTGACCACGACAAAAATGTTTTTTGTTTACAATATTAATACAAAATCAAGCAGACAAGTGATGAGAATAAAGAAAAATATAAATGAGGGGATTATTAGTTGATCCAATACTAAATTCTCCGAACAAACATACTAAGAATTGTGTGGCAGACAGTAAGGATAATTACTAAGTAAATCGTGGGAGTGGAAGGGGTTACTTGATAGAATTGTGCTCTAACTTTTAAAAGGAATGTTTCACGTAAGAATTGTTACAAATTAGTCAAGCGCAAATTTGCGTCCGCAGTCATGAAGTATTGGCTTTAAAATGTTGTTTACTTTTCTTGTAGCGCGCGGCTTTGAAAGTTCTCGGGAGTGGCGAAGTCGACACATCGAACGTTTTTATTATGGGGGGATCCCATGGGGGATTTTTGACAACACATCTCATTGGACAGTATCCGGTAAGAACAATCGCGATTCACATCTCTGCAAGCCTGCAGAGCAGGCGTAATTTTGGCGAGCTATTACACGATATTCTCTTAGTGAAAATTATAGCTGCCATCTTTGATTTTAACGGCAGCGGTAGGCTGGGGAGAGAAATGAATTTGACGCCAAATGGTCGGTCGGATAATCAATCACGAGCTTGTAACATCAATGCGCCCTAATAAGACGCCTGCATTGCAGGCTACATTTCTGTTCGCAAATTTCTGTTCGGAAAGTTACCAAAATAACTTTTCGCGACAGAATTGCGCACCTCATATGACAGTTTTTGTTTTTACCACATTTTGATGTCATCTGTGATCTAATACTTAACATACACATGGCAGAATGGAATCTAGTGGGTATAGTTATATCTCTTATTTCACGTGCTGTGTTTTTTTTTCCTAATGGTATATCAGGATTTCTACAGAGCTGCTGCTACGCGTAACCCTGTTGTAGAAATATCTGGTGAGTAGATATTTACAAATACGAGCTCCGTTATCGATTTCTATAGGTATTTGAGACGTAAGTAAATCCTTTCAGCCTAAGAAGAAAAAGAGAAGTCGCTTTCCCCCCCTGGGCCACCGTAATTACACTCTTTTTGTATAAGAAACTTTTTTTGTAAGAACGTTCAGACTGAGATTAACCCTTTAACTTCCAAGATCTCATTAGTAATTCTCCTTACTGTCTGCCTTACAGTTCTTGTGATGTTAGTTTGGAGAATTTGGTATTGGGTCAACTTGTAATCCCCCAATTTTTTTAATCTTCTTTATTCTCATCACTTGTCTGCCTAATATTGCATTGACACTGTAAGGAGAAATTCTCTCTTGGTCACTTGGGAGTTGAAGAGTCAACCAAAATTTTGACAACATACTAAGAACATACTCAGGCTGAGAGTCAGTTAAGGACGTCTTTATTTTGCTCATTTTTTAATTTTTTTTATTTGAGTAGTGTAAATTAAGGTACAAGAAATATAAAACTTAGGTCTAATAGGAAACTTAAGTCAAATACTTAGGGCGTTTTTTAACATTAACAATGCGGTTTTCCTATTGCACGATACACTTAAGCAAACAATGCATTTGATAGGTTACCTGGTCACGTCCGAATTTATCTATTGCGATACTATACCACACAACTTTAAGAACATGTTAAGAACGGTTTAAAGTTAAATCTCAAAAAAAGAAAAAGAACATTTAGCCTTGGCCCCCAAATTGGAGGTTCTCCCTAAAAAAAAAAAGTGTATACACTACAATATAAATTTAAATGCGCTTATCTTTACACTCATTTTTTTTAACATGATTTCTTGGTTAATAGCGATGGTGAGTTTATCAGACATTCCGGATTGGTAAGTTAGTACTCTTGAAATAAAGATAAATTTTTGTTATTTTAACGTTTTGTTCAGCAAAACTTTTGTTAGACTAAGTTTAGTGCAAATCGTGAGTCAGATAACGCGATCGTGTACTATAGACCAATGGAACATCGTTCCAGTAATCTTTGATATAACCTAGCTGTGATTAAAAACTATCGGCAGGGCCTATGATGTGAAGCCCTGTTCATTTTGTTAGACTATACTAAGTTTGGCCCAAATCGTGAGTTAGACAACTCGATCGTGTACTAAAGACCATTGGAACATCGTTCCAGTAATCTTTGATATAACCCTAGCTGTGATCAAACCTATCGGCAGGGCCTATGATGTGAGGCGTATGTTGTAAATAATGATACAGCGAGCGTTAACCCTTTACACCCTAACATCAGCATGCATATTCTCCACACTATTCTCTATACATTTACTAAGGTTCTGACAAGGAGAATTTGAGTAACAATCAAGAGCTTCTTTAGTTGGTGATCCTTTCCTTAATTCTTGCCACCTTAATGTGTGATTTAGGGGTGATATTGTAAGGAGAAATTAGATGCTTGTCACTCTTAGGGATCAAATGGTTTATCCATAGCTTTACAACTCACATTTACCGATTCTCTATACTTTCAATTTTGTTTTAAATAAAAGGGAGTAGTGCGAAATTCAAAATAACAATCGCACTTAAGGTTTCTTTCCTTTCTATTTTTTTGTTTTGTTTTTGCAATTTTTGCTTTCTTTCTTTTTGATTTTGCTTTGTTTTTTTTTTCGTTCTTTCAATTTAACAGGTGCTTCTTTGAAAATGGAGAAGAGTTTCGTCATGATGCTGTTCTAGATGGCCATACGTTAGTTAAAATGCTGGAAGAGTCTCCCTTCAGCCTCATTAAAAAGGTAGAGCGCGTTTGTGATAATAAGTGCGTCACTCGTTGCGTGACAGGCGTAACACAACGCACTTGTGGGAAATTGAGAAAACAAAAAGACTTGTTGAAGAAATTATTAATCGCAATTTTGTTATGCTGCAGGTTAAAACTCCAATTTTGATCATGTTGGGAGAGGATGACCTGCGGGTTCCTCCAAGTCAAGGAAGAAAATACTACAAAGTTTTAAAAGCTCAAGGAACAAAGACGAGGTAAGTGTTTGGTGTCGACGCTTTTAGGCAGAGCTCCATCCCCAGAAACACGCACACGGCAACATGGAAACTATTGATTTTAAGTGATGAAGAAGCAAAATTTTGTTAATGGTGACGAAGTCTAAGCATATGCCCTCTAATAGATCATAAACAATAACCAATCAAAATGCGAGTTTGTTTTAGCTTACAATATGTTGCTATGTGGTATCTGACAAGCTGAATTATGCACGCAATTTGATTGGTTCTTCCTATGATCTACTAGAGGATAGACCCATTGATTACGTCACCATAGCAGCATTTTGCTTTTTCATCATGTCAACCCCCTACACCCTAACATCAGTAATCATATTCTCCCTACTGTTCTCTGTACAATTACCAAGGTGCTGACAAGGAGAATTTGTCCAACAATCAAGAGTTTCTTTAGTTGGTGATCATTTCTTTTATTCTTATGACATTAATGCGTGATTCAGTGGTGATAATGTGAGGAGAAATTAGATATTAATCACTCTTAGGGGTTAATTACAGAGTTAAACAAATAGACTCCATGTTGCCGCGGGTCTGTTCAGTAATAGATCATAGAAGACGTCAGAACTGAGTTGATAACGTAAATTGGCCATCTTAAAGAGTTTCAAAGCTGACGGTTCGAGCGTTAGCCCTTCGTCAGAGCGAATGCGAATGGTAGAAACGTCGGCTTTGAAACTCTTTACGGTGGCCAATTTACGTCATCAAATCGGTTGATAATACTAAATTACCCTGTTATACTCTCCCACCGACGTAGCACCACAGTTTCTTCAGAAACTTACCCCTTTATTGATAAGAACAGAAGTGGCACACTCGGCTGCGCGTCGTGTGTCACCTTTTTGCTTCAACCAAATTTTGACGTCACTTGTGAAGATAGAGCGCTTTATCCCATTGAGTGTTATAAAACCAAAACCAAAGCAATCATTATAGCCAATCACAGCTAGGAAAATATCGCGAGGAATCAATGACGACTCGATGTAAAAATAAGCAAACTGCTTGAAGCGCAGGAAAACGCGGGCGACCAAGTCGCGATCAGTTTCAGTTTTGAATCTGATTGGTTGATAGAGTGGCGCGAGTTTTTTGGATGAAACACAAAGCGAAGTAAAGCAAAACTAATACAATCCTGAATTTCTTTCAACACTTACTTGAAAATTTCTCTATTCTTACACTGTTTTTAGGTTGCTTTCGTATCCTGATAACAATCATCCTATCAGCAAAGTCGAGGCCGAGAGCGACTCATTTATAAACATGGCGAGATGGTTCTTTGAACATCTGCTGAAGTAACCTCATTCCTTGATCATCACTGGCAGCTTGTCGTGTGGCATCATAATTTTGTGTGTCAAGTGCTGCGTCGTATAAAAAGTAGACAACTGGAAATAAAATTTTTTGCAAGATAACTTTACCCAGTCGGACGACTACGGCTTTCCGCAAGGAGGGGGTGAGGAAACTCTTTCCATTTCCCCTCCCCCTCCCTCAACCATCTTCGCCAAATTATAAAGGGCAACAAAATCTGTCCAGATATATATTGGATCGAAATTGAAATGAAAGTAATTTAGATGTTTCTAGAACTGTCTAGAAGGTAGATGTAGCTGCTCGAGCTTGCTCGACAGAGTTTGTTTGAACATTTTGAAATATTACAGATATGCTTATAAAGCCACAGTTTGAAAATATCAGTAACGATTAAATTAAAGGTGTGAGTTAATTTAAAACAGTGTGTTAAGAAGTGTGATGATAGTCCCTTTCTTGCCACCTTCCTCTTCGCTAACTTGAGAACTGAGACCAGCCATTTCCGAGTTCCGGTAAGCCTCGTTTTCGGAACGAGACCAGGCGAAAAAACTTTTAATGTGAAAGGTGAGTTTGTTCAACGTGGTGGTGAAGATGATAAATAAGGGTTTGATCCACCTGTTCAATTGATTGTCAAAAGTTTAAATACTAATTTGCAATGCCTTTCTTGTGGAAGTCACGTGCGTGAGTGAAAAAAAGATCGTAGAGATGTCAAAAACCTCGTTTTTCAACCGATGCTTTCAACATCTCGGATTTCGCCCAATGGTCGAAGGGAGTAAAGCTTTGTTTGATAGGTTGTTTGTTTTTTTGTTTGGTTTTTTGTTGTTCTTTTTTGTTGACGCAATTTTAGGGGATCGATTTTTTTTTTCTTAGCCGAGAAAAATGGCCTTGGAAAGATGGAGATTATGTAACCCCAACAAAGTATTGCTATTTTCTATGACCACAAATAGGTCTGTATAACAGACTTGTTTTAAAAGAAATAGTCGAACAAAAGTAAAGATACCGAATTCAGCCATCGATCAAAGTCAGTAATACATTCATGTCCGCACACTTTCGCTAAAAGCTTAGGAAAATATAGCTAATTGGATGTCAACAACGCCCGTCGATCTAATGATTTAGTTCTTCCTTTAGTGGTCTACTGACTGAAGTACACAAGCAAATATGAAGGTATTTAAAGGTCTTTAATTAAGGATTCCTTTATTCGGCAAGTGGGTTTCGAGCTAATAAGTTGTAGTATCTCCAGCTCGCACAATGAGCCGTCAAACATGCAAATATTTTTGCGTTTCGTAATGAGCGAAATGTAAGGTTTTGTATGGGAATAATCGGTCGCAATCTCTAACTAAAAAAATTGAAACTTGTTTGAACTTGTTTAGACTAAAAACTAACTTACCTCTCTAAAGCGTTTGTACCTTTGTATCGTGTGTTTCTTGGGTTGATTTAGGAATTAGAGCCGTTTATATCAGCTGTTTTAGTAGTTGCCTTGCGTTATCCTTTCCAAGAAAATTGATATGTATAGAACGCCGACCGAACGAACTCAAGGCAAGCTAAAAAAACAAAACAAAACAAAACAAAACAAAAAAAGACAAAAGACAAAACTGGGCGACGCGAATTCTCATAATATTTCAATTTCAACACATCCAGTCCATGATTCGCGTCCCAAGAGGCGATATGAGAACGGGGTCATAAAAAGTGCATTTGCTTGACTGCTCTCGCATTCGCCTGGGGCAACCTTTTAATGATGCCCTCCGAAAGCAACAATCTCGTGATATTTATATAGACGTGGCACGCTATGACATGGGATGCACGAGAGGCACGGGAGGCATAAGTCGCAGAGGGCTCACGAATCAGTTCGAGAGGCTGATCCCTTCCTAATTTTATTCCACCATAGACGTTGAATTTTCTTATTGCAATGTTACTTAGTGTAATTTCATTACATTTTGCTCTATATTGGCATCCTCGTTCAATGCAAGACAGGCCGATAGCTGTTCCCATGATATTAGGTGTGAAAAACGGGATCTATCTTTTTCTCTTTTTTTTTTATAAGCTATTTTTGCAGCAAATATTGTGACCTTACTAAAATGGCACGAAAAACTGCGAACTCTTGGCTTTTTATTTTCGACCTACTCTTTTGGTGGGGAAAACCGCAAACTGTTCCCGTTTTAGTTAAACCTTACTAAAAGTAGTGGGAAAGACACGGACCGGAAACTGGGAGCCCACCAAAAAGCACAGAACACCAATTTGATTAAAATGTTTTGTGCATTATCAAGATTTTCCTAAAATAAAGCAAGTACAATACTAATAAACGAGGCAGTAAACGTCCGCCTTTTACCTTTTTAGGTATGGAAAAAAATGCTGTTGATATGCTTTATCGAAAAAAAAAAAGCGCCTTGTTTGCTAGTCAAAAAATTACATTTGATATTAGACCCATCGCTTCTGAACTGATTTGTGATGGTAAACACGCAGAGTGAAAATAGAAACTTTGTTCTATAAAAAGCTCAGTTTCACAGATACTTTCTTCATCAATATATTCAGAATATTGCATGGGCATCTTGGGGCGCCGATATCGAACGCTTAGGGTATAAGCGGGTAACTGATAACTGTTAACTGATAACTGATCACGTCTTGCAAAAAGCGATTAATTTTTTTTTTTTAGTGCTTAAGAATCTTGCATTTGCTCTTAAATTATCCTCTCAAGCTGCTTTAAAAATTACTCTTATTTTTGTACAGGTGCACGGTTGGGGTCAACCATTCACCGAAAAAACAGCAAAAAAATTAGCCATAGGTAAATTGGTAAATTTTAACCTACAGCGGTAAAAAAAGTTTTCAGTTAAAAATCTTCCTTTCCATCGCAACGTAAAATGGCTAAAATTTTAACTGTTTGCGGCAAAAGCCGTCACCCCATCGAGACCATGGGTTAACATAATTGTCTGTTTCTTCATGTATAGCATCGTACCCAGCATTTAAAATTTAATTTAGTTCACCTGTTCAGCTCTGTAAAAGCAACATTTGGGACTAATTCAGACATAAAATTTTTTTTTCACCGATTACTGAACGGGATTGACACGTTTGCAGATTAGAGGTCAGCATAAAAGAGCTCTCACATTGAACGTTAATAATAATTAAACCGTACAAAAAGTGTACTCTCGTTCCCGAAGGCCTGATAAGCCAAACGTTCTGGACGAGATTCATTATTGTCATTCGTTTAGTAGTTAGGATTGTGGATCACCTCGTTAGTTTTAGGTCGCCCTTGACAATTATTTAAAGAACCCTTCAACAACCTTAAGGCTCACTTAAACGCTGAACATTGCATGAAATAACCTAATTGCAAAATGTACTTTGTAATCAGTAAATTCCTTCGGCTTCCAAAAAAGTAAACATCGGTTACCTAGGTAGAAAGAACCGTCTTACGCTGGTTTCTAATATGTTTCCACATACTCGATATTCGATACTTAGTAAGTGAATGAAATACTTGTATTTCCTATTCATTACATCCAATTCTAAGGCGAATAATTCAATTTCAAGCTGCTGCACTTAATTTTTTTTCTCTAGCAAAAAGTAAATGTGGTTCCAATATTTTCAAGAGCGTATCGATAAAGTCCTTTCTCCGGAAACCCCGCCTCTACCCCCTGTGGATTTATTTTGGCGGAAGTTTACGGGACTTTCCCAGTTAAACTGACCGGAAACAACTTGTGAGAACTCAAATATAAAAATACCTTGATAAACTACGACCGGAAATCATCTGCACGTAGAAATTATACGCGTTGATCATTACTTCAATGTCTCTAATACTGCAACTTTGAAAATGTCTCTTTGTTCTGTCAACACCGGCAAGTACTTTCCTCTCCACTTTAAACGGAAATCAATCGTTGTCAAAAAAGTTTGTTTTAAAACAACGATCGATATCAGTCACACAAATGTTGTTTTGTTTTCCAGTCGAGACAAGCCCGGGCATATCTACTCCGTACTGCTATGTTTTCGCGCCAAAAACACGAAATCGACCGGTTTAATTTCAGCATGTTAACAGTTAACAATTTCCCCGATTTAACACTTCTTCTCGACTAGATTGCTGTCTACGTTATTACCAAACTTTTGTTAACGCGTTCAAAAAAACGTGACCAAAAGTTAATTTTCATTTCGTTTTCATTCTGAAGAGATCTGAGGAGGCAAATTTTTTACGTGTAGACTGCACGCTGTTTTCGTTAATGAAATAGTTCGTTTACGCAAAAAGAGATTACATCTGTCAGGGGTAAACTTAAACACACGCCATCGGGCACCCTTTCTTTCGGTTTTCGTGTTTTTGTGATGAAAAATGAAACACACGCACGATATCGCCCCTGTCATCAAATGATGAAGTGTTTACATTAACGATTTTGTGTTGCTCTCGTTCCGGCAAAATTTGGCGGGAAATTAGCCGGGAGAAAAACTGGCTCAGACTTATTTTCACTGTGCCAAGGTCATACAGGATTAATTTAGGATTCAAATATTCAATATAAACCATTTTTGTTTACATCCACAAACGGGTGTACGTGCAGATGAATAAATTTTCTGTATTTCGCATGGCTATTTCCCTATATATAAAAAAAATAAAAAAAAAAAAAACCTCCTGCCGACATAAGGAACAGGTGAACACATTTCATGCATGAATTCGTGTCTGAATATTTCCGACGGCTTTTTAACATAGTCCTCAATTTCCAGTGTAATCCGTTCCGGAGACAAAGGGAGTCTATACTGCTTATTATCTCATACTAGAGAGGCGATATGGAAATTATTTCACGTCACATCTGTACGTGCGCATGTTATGTTCACGTGCTTTTTGTCAATAATTGTTGATGTAAGCTCATCCTTCATTTTGAGCCAAGATTCAATCAAAGCCAGATCCTTAAATATTGACATAAACAAGAAAAGAAAAAAGAAAAAGAAAAAACGACAAACCAGCCTTTAGCATAAAATTTCTGTTTTTCCACGACCTTGCAAGGAAGTGCAAGGTCAGGAGCCTGACAAGGTTAATTGCAACTATTTTACACGGTTACTTAAAAAAAAAAAAAAAAAAAAATGAAAGAGAAAACACGCTAATGTTCCCCATTTTAAAAACAAATTGGTGCTGGGTCAGGCGAGTACAAAGTGTCTAATTGACGGAAAAAAAGAGGGTCATTATGTGTACCTCTCTCCTGGGTTGTTTACACAACTCCGTTTTATACTGTTGGTTCAAAGTGGTTAGACTAACTTGTACCCAACAGTCCCAAGTTTGAAGACTTTTGTTTGATGTGCAGTCGAACCCCAATCTCTCATAATTTTTCAGAGTGAAATTAAAACTCTAGGTTGAGAAGTGTTTTCGACAAGTAGTGTTTACTCAGCTGTCAAATTTGTTTCCTCCGTCGATAAATCGTAATTGTGTGACCGAATAAATGCTGTGACGTATTACCAAATGATGGTTCTTCCAAGGTCGCTCGGGCTTTGTGCAACTCGGAAAATGAAAACAGTCGTAGGTGTGAAAATGGAAGATTGAAACAGACTGATATAACTGACCAGTAACTGAAAAGTTGTACCACTTTAAAGGCTATAATCTGTGTAAATGGTTGACTATAGATGAGGCAATAGTGCGTGACGTGACCAGCCTCGTGCAAAATGTTATGCAACGTGACTTTGTTATGTAATGCCAAACCGCAAACTGTGACTATGACCTATGTTTAATTTCAACAAAACTCCGGAATAGAAATTACACGTTCACGAGGTTCCCTTCAAATTTCCGCGGATTTTTAAATTTTTCACGGATATGAAATTTGGATGACAAAAGCCATTAGTTTTACAATCATACTATATTTCCACGCAAGCTTCAAGGTCAAAATTAACCGGGTTCACGATAATAAGATGACTGATTTCACAGCCCGAAATAAGATTTACAATTCTTAAATCGTGTTTACTGGTGACCTTGCTTTACAAGTGCAAACTGATCGGAATCGAAAACAAAGCACACGAATGAAAACTTAGGGAGAACGCTACAATATAACGATTTTATTACGTAACTTTCCCAGCGTGATCACTTGTAGGATGGGATTTTACGGTCCTTTAATTGTTTACCAACGCAAAACTTCCAGATAAAGATGAATACGAATTAAAACGTTGTCGTTGCCCTCGCGTTGCCCTTGTAGTGTTATCAATATTGACGTCGTCAAGTCTTTGATATGACCTTGACAGGGGAATGCGGATTTCCGTCAACTACCCTTTTCCCTCGTCTTCTCGATCGTTTTCTACTAGTCGATGCAACTGAGGAGGAAAACCGCGACAATTCTAGTGTCAGACTGAATTTTTTTCCACTGAGTCCCGATGTTATCAACAACAGTTGCGAACTACATCAGCAGATTTTTTGTGCTATTATCAAAACAAGCAAGGTCAAATGCCTGATTTCATCACTATAAATGTTTACAGTCCAGAGTACATGACGACATGGCACCCATCCAAGAAGCAACACACTTAAAAATTTCGTGCTCTGCCGACCATAGATTGCATTAGAAGGAGAAGGATGACGAACTGGAAAGCATCATCTTGTTGTGGTTCAAATTTTCCTGTTTAAAAAAAAAATAAAGAAAAAAATATTGCTTGCGTTACTTATGGATCGCAGAAGCTCTTCGATACTCTAGTCTAGGTTGTGCAGGTGAGGCGGTTCGTCGTCATCTAGGTAGTTTAGACGGTTTAAAACAAAGAAAAATGCTAAAGAATAGAGTGCAAACGAGATGACGGAGACCGAAAGCAAAACTGGGGAAATTATGTGACCACAGCGTGCGTGACAATCAACAAGAGGCAATTACATGGAATTCTTTTGGAAGAAAAAAAGTTTCCTTGAACATAGAGTCAACTGACAACAATAAAAAATTAGGGAACAAGCGTAATATCAAATTTACAACAACACCTTCCGTTTAAATGAAAGGATTACCGTTGGCAAAATAATAATTTAATACATTTGTTTGTGTGCTACAACAAAAGTGAAAGCTAGGGAATTTTTCGATATTTTTAGTATGCACAAATCTTGATTCGTATAACTTATTCTTATTTTTTCCTCAATCTTAAGATAAAAAGAGAGCCATAAATTTGACTCAAGAAAAAAAATTCACGACAATTACAAAATCAACTGTCCGACAAATGAAATGTATAAGAGGCTCTTCCACACGTATCTTTAACACAGGATAAGCTAAAACAAAACTACAAAAATTTCCAAAACGACTAGACTAAGGCAATTAATTTCTAGAAATTGTCTGGAGATCGTTGCACATAGCCAAAAGTAGGAAATTGTTCATCAAAAGAACACTTGACTCGAGAGAAACCGAAAAAAAATCGTGCCACTATTAAGCTCTAATTGCGTTAAACAATTTTTTGATGGATTGAAGATTTGATTTTCAACATCGATTCGGGCAAATTTCATCGTGTCAAAACAATTATATCAAAGCCCCTCAAAGTGGTAATATTTTCATAGAAAACAAGATCTTGCGTATTTTACAATATCCACTCTGGATTCAACTGAGTATAAAGCATGTTTTTCCTTGCGTTTACGGCAAGACAATATCGCTCTTTGGTTTTACCACTTCAAGTTAGTGTTGCGTTCGGACTTGTCGAATCCGAGAACCTTATCGCCAAAAGTCACTTTGAAACAAGTGTCTCAAATCTCATCGATACCATAAACGCCTTTCTGTAGAGCTCATTGGGAAGAGCTTTACAAAGACTTCTAACCAGATTAGCCAACGATCTGCCATAAGCACTATTTTTCATTTGTTGCCATCGAATTTCGACAGATTGTTTTTAACAGAGTTTTGGTAACGTTCCCAAGTCTAGACAATATTTCCCTTCTTCTACAGACAGCGGGAAGCTTACTTTCACCCACGCGGTAAAACAATAACACAAACGAGCCTTAGTTAAAACGTATATTGCTGACAGAGCGATAAATAGGAAGAGAATTATTTACCCTTTCGCATTAATATCAGAAATATCGACATTGCCCTTCATTCGCCGTACATGTTGTTTCTAATGGCTTTCCGCCTTTCGGCTAATTCACGTAGACCTTCAAATGAAGAAAAAAATAGCCGACATTCACGTTCAACAAAATCATATGCCGGTACCCATAACTGCCAGGATGAAATTTCAAGTCATATTCCCGAAATCTCATTTTAGTAGACAAAACCTAGCTAACGAGGGCGAAAATCAAAAGAAATCTGTCTCGGAAGGATGTGGTTAAATTTCCTTTCTGTATTGCTAATGACACATTATATTTGGTAATCTCGAACGTGTGGTAGCGAGATCAGTTTATAAATACACAAAACAAAGCCCTATTGTTTCGCGAGAAGATAAAGAGAAAAAGTGAAACTTCCAAAGAGGTCGACGCTTTTGCACTGTAATCTGTTAATTACAAAACCGCCCTTTTGAAAAAAAGAGCTGGAAAGTCTTTCTCTTCGTACTTAACTAACGACACCAAAACAAGAGCGAGTTTTTCTTAAAGAAGCCTCTTTTATTACAAAAATAAGACCTCTGGAACATTTTTTTTAAATAGAAGAATTGATGCAATTCACGCAGCCACATAGAATTGTCTAGTTTTAAGCTGCAGGTAAAAAACCCTTGAAAGGCGAATTAACATTACATTACAAATCTGTCGCATTTTCAGCGTATATAGAAATAATATCATTAAGCTATTTACATATTTACATACGACTTTGGGTGATTATTTACAAAAAGTTTGATATTTACAAGAGTTTACAAAGTATTGCTCAAGTTCGATTAATTTAACGGGCTGAATGTATAAAAGCGCTCTATTTATATTTCCTATTGTTTTGTGTTTTTTTGTGGCAACAAGAACATTATTAATAATAATGGAAATAATCATGGAAAATGTCTGGTACCTGCCATAAAAGTAACCGTCTCTAACACGAAGGTTTCGTGATAAAAGCGTGCATCTGGGATCCTACACAGCAGTAACCTAACTAAACCTTTTCAGTTCTCTTCTTTTCTCTCAAAACAATACACATCGACAACAGATAAAAAATTTGCATATGAAAGACAATAAGAACGTGAAATGTTTATGTTGTTCTGTCACGACAGCATAGAAGAGAATTGTGTTTTCGCTCGAAGCACACACGCATACGACAACAGTTCGCCAGCGAACCGAGCAACGTGACTTCAGCGATCACCTCACAAAAGTTTCCGGAAGAGAAATGTCAAGGTCGATGATTTTTCACTCTTTTCCCTAATTTTTTTTCCCGAGAAGCGCGTGTCTTTCAGAAAATGCAATATCAGTAATGATTTCGCGAGTCACAGTCTATTAATTATCTAATACTGCCAGTCAGCGCTGACGAATAAAAAGATGAAAAAAAAAAACCTCTCTCGGTGACAGTCGATCGACGAATAAAATTTTGACCTTCGTTTGAAAGCTGCGCAATATACAGTGACAGAAAACTACGATATGCTAACGCCAGTACGTGAATGTCACTTACTAGCTGTTATTTTAGCGAAGCTCGATAAATTAAGCGGAATTTTTAAAACAAAGTCAGAGCGTCTCTCCTTGAATAGAAGTTATGGTCAAGCCGGGCTTTCACGGATTCCGGCCACGGATGACTTGCGTTTTGTTGTTATGGAAAAGCGATTTTAGTTCTCTCTGCTGTGACATCCTGGTCTGTGAAGCGGAGGCTTCTCAGTGCTTTTAATCCTGTGTTTGTCAACAATAGGGCGATGAAACATGAGCCATCAGGTACAAAACCAAACACAGTTCTGTGCTTAATGTGCCAGTCTCGAAGCGAGTGTCGTATTGCGTGAAATAAAAATATTTTCTTGCGCTGTGCGAGTCAATCATCCTCAGGGCTAGCAAGTGAATACGCAGTGTCATCTGCAAAAGAGAAATAGAGAAATAAAGATTAGTTATGTATTTCCAGAGCGCCACGATCGCTGACAAAAATCCAAACGCGAAGGGCAACGAAAACGATGATTACACTATCATTCCCGCGCTACACAAAAAGCGTCAAATTTGACCTCTCTGTAAGTATGCGATCAAGTCATGATTATTAATATCTGCGAATAACACAATTGTTTTCATCGCATCCAAGCGCTTACCTTATGAGTGAAACAACACGACAAAAAGGCTTTCAAGTGTTGAGCAGATTCCACACAAGTCTCCCAACAACGAAGACACCGGCAACAGCACACACAGCCTTGATTGCATCAACAACAATGGCCTGTTCATTGTTAACTTTCTCCCGTCTCGCGGATGCTTCTAGATCGTCCGCGATCTTTCGAAGCTCCCTTCCCACCGCAATGCACGCTCTCCGCTGTGATGGAGACTCGTCAGGTGATAGAAAAAGTGTGGATGCCATCCATATACCAGCACTTTGGAGATAAGACATGTTTTGTTTTCGCCAGAAGCTTGTGTTCTCTCGATTACAATGTTTTGATGCCTTCGGAAGATTTAAAATGGTCTGATGCGCGCTCGTGCCGAACACACGACTTTATTGCCTTACCTAAACTGGATTTTTGATTGACACCTCTGGACAAGCTGCGATTGGTGGCTTGTCATGCCACTGACTTCACAGTCATTGAAAACAAAAGGGGGCCCCCTCTAATGCTAAATTCGTAAAATTAACTCATGGTGACATTTTGCAGTTTCTACACTCACGTACTTCGCGACAAAGCTCGGCGCGACCTTGGGAATTTCCTGAACGCAATGTATGTAAACAATCGAATTACGGGTTTGCGCACAACAAAAGAAAAATAACCCAGAGACACAACAGCCCCCTGAAATAGCCACAGACCTAGTATCCCCTCCCTCAAAGAAATCCTTTGAGTTGGCTACTATCACATGTATCTTCAGGGCTGCATGTGTTCGACGCGATCAGCAGTAAATTTCGTTTTTAGACGTGACTTCACATTGACCCAAAATTATCATACGCTGACTAACGCAGTTCATGCGACGAGCGCTGACCTAAATCACGGCCCAACCACCCACAAGTAGTGCACTAAAAAACCAGGGCTGATATAAGATCATGGCTTTGCGCCAAATTTGGCCTCTTCGCTTTAAAAAATAAAGAAAAACGAGAAAGATAAACATTACCACAAACTTTGATCACAACAGAATTAAAACAGTATGTTGCAATAACAAAGTGTTCGGTACCTCTGATTAATTTCGAATTAATTGCCATCTTCAAAATAACTAGAAAAATTTTTTATTCTTTCATATTCAAATGTCGCGAAATTACTAGTGCAAAGTTTACGCAAACTCATCACTTAATTTGAAAATGTTTAGAGCAGTGCCATAGCTACAGCTGCTGCTATTGAAATAATAATGGCAACTTTCCAGTTTTCGTATAACCAGTCTACTGACTCGTGAATAAGACACCTACGTTAATAAATAATAAGGAAAAAAAAAGTTCAAGACCTTTTAAGAAGATTACTTCGACTAAAAAATCGTCTCAGGACTTAAGCGCGTTCACAAGTCTTCGTTCGGTCGTCTCAGAGAAAGGTGTCAATTATAATACCGAGGACGAAAGTGAAAAAATTTGAAAATGATATTCTAATTGTTCCGTGTCTTGGCATG